GTAAAGGGCAAATAAGAGTAGTTTTTATTGGTAAAAGAAAATAACTAATTAATCACTAAATCAGTAAAAGTAGCGTACAATATAAATACTCATATAATAGATGGTAAGGCAAAAGCAAGAGTGAAACTAATCCATAATAGAGTCCGACCACAACGATGGAATTGATTATCTTCATCTATAAGGATACTAGATTACCTAGTAGAAAAGATTGAAAAATCATCACAAACCTCCCTTAGTTCTTTTCTATTGCAATTTCTGGATTATTATATGATGATTTTTGAACTTTCCATATATAGAAAAAGAAATAGAAAGAGATAGACTAAAAACGACATTTGTTATGTCAATGACACCAAAGGGATATTAAATGAATGGAATTGGGATATGGATGGAATATAATGAAATAGAGCCACTTTGATCCCTCTGAAATGAGGCATGTAAGGGAGCCACTACGAAGAAGTGCTTGCTTAGAAGCTCAATCATGAAGCCACTGCTTCATACTAGGATTACATAAGTGCTTTAAAATAAATTAGCCAGCAAGTTCAGGGAACTCTGTTCTCACAGATATAGGGCTTCTTACTCTGTGCACCCCGTCAGTCCAAGTTAAGCTCCCGAAATTATAACCTGTGTTGTATTTGTGAGTGGTTGAAATAGTAAGAGTGAAAGAGATTTTCTCGATGCTGGAGTTGAATATCAAAGTTGTACAAGTGATTTGGAATCACATGGACCACATCAGGTAACTCTGCAACAAATTCAATGAGGGACAACATGGAAATATCACGCGATTCCAATTGAACTATAGCGTGCCCAATTTAACCAACAAGTATGTCATCTTCAAACTTTTTTTGAAGTCCTACTTTACCAGCTTGAGAGAGAGATTGCAAAGTACTACTACATTTTACCTGCAATCTTTTTGGCTTGAGATTTTGTTAACCTGGCTGCAAAGCCGGAGAAACCATGCTTATAACTATAGATGATTGAATCTCTTGCAGTTCTGGACTGCATCAGGATAAAACATAAAGTTGTGAACTAAATAGTCTGCACATATTAGTTTGGAGAGAAGAGAAAACCAATTTGTTGATCTTTCCTCAGTTACCTTCCCAGTACTAAAGTAAGTATTTGATGGTGAGCTGATGTTATGAGTTCAATATCATCATGTTGCCTTCTTCCCATGTAAACTATATGAACCTATATTTAGCAATCATTACTCATACTCTTAGTATTACAGTGAAACGAAATAGTGAATTTTCCTGAGTTGTGTTCAATATGTAAACATAAAAGAAATTGCAGAATAGGTTGTTGTAATATCTACTCACTTTGCTTTCAGTATTTGCTTGAATTCCTAAGAAGTTCAAGAAAAGGAGTAGAACAGTAAAAGCCAATTTATATTGAAGAAAGTGGCTGATACTCATTATGTGGTATATAGGACTAGTTAAATAGAGACATAGTTGTTGCAGATTGATATCCATTATTTATAACCATTTATAGATGGAAATCGTGCGATTTAGGATCTGATCATGATGTCTTCTTCCTGGTGTCATGATCCAAAAGATAGAGGCATCACGAAAAGTTAGCTTAATTATTCCGTGGCCAAGAACAAATGCTAAACAGCACCAAGCACAAAGGGGTTCTTTAGCATGTGGTAATATAATACATGCAATAAATTATAAGAGTAAGATGGGATTGGAGTATATGCTGATTATGAAACGCATTAAATAATGTTTGAAATGTAATCATGTTTGAATTATATATGGTGCTTATTAAACAGTGGAATCATTTCATTAATTAATTTTACGGAAAAGGCTCAAAAATACCCCTGAACTATAGGAAATAGCTCACATATACCCTTGAACTATATTCTGGCTCAAAAATACCCTTCCGTTAAAGTATTGGGTCACTTTTACCCTTACTATTAACAGAGATGTGTTAAGTGCCATGTGGACGCCACGTGGACGCCACAT